AAGTTGAAAAGCACTGCCCTAGACCATTTGTTCAGAATAAAAACAAACTGCATCTGAATGGAATTTCATTATGTAAGACAAAGCTCAAAAATGATTACAGTGATAACAAATTTTTAATGTTCCCAGTTTTGTATTGAAAATATTCTTTTTATTTTAAGGAAAATTTGATTATCAGCTCAATGTCATTACAAATCTGTCATATTGGAAATCAGGAAAACAGAGTAATTTACAATGATTTGGAGAAAAATTCCAGCATTATACATAAGATTTGTACAAGGTTTTACTTTTTTAAAAAAAAAGTATCAAAAAGGTAAATTATTCAAATCTATATACAGTTTGAGGTTAGTTACAGTTATTACATATAAAGACTTTTTCTTCATTTTATAATTTTATTCATGCACACAGTGCATGGTTTTGTAGTAACTGAGTAGAGCAGCTTTAAATATTTTCTTTTCCCTCTACATCTTCAGAAGTATGTATTTGACTCTAAAGCTTCTTTCTCAAAATCTAGCAGAAAGAAATAGGACATCCTTCCTTCTCAATGCCCATTATAAACAAGCAGCAAACTGAATAAACTTTCCAAGGTGCAAATTCTATTATACTCTTTTAACTTCTCACTCACTTATCCTTAACATGAAGGACCAGTTTAGGCATATTGGTATTTGTCATTAAGGGATGACTTCCTATTATTAGAGAGTCACCTTGAATGACTTACATCAGTGAATATATATTTTTAATTGTTGAACAGCCATCATAAACATGAGATACTGTATGTGTATACATGTCATCATATACATCGGAAGTAATTTTGCAACCATTACATCATCTGTTTTGTTTGCAGAGAAAATGTTTGATGTCTATAAAAGTACAAGATTGTTTTTGTATCACTACATTTCAAACAAAAGTTCAGTTTGTTATGAAATTGATTCTATGAAAGGTAGATTCTTTTTAAAACCAACTCAGGATTACAGTGATTCATATAGTCAGTACAAGAGTTGCAATTCAAAGCTACCAGGCAGTACAGGGGAGATATAATAGCCACCTACTGGAACTGCTATGCTTAATAGATATTGCTTATTCATAAAAATGATTGGACATTTCATGATTTAGAATAGATACTAGGCAAAAAAAAATAATAGTTATACAGCGTTTTCAGTTTCACAGCTCAGTGATCTAGTGCATGCAAATAGCTATCCAGAGCACCAAAATTAAGGAATTTAACAAGATTGCAAATTCCTGTTTAGCCTAGCCTGGCACTGGTATCAGCAATAGCCACAATCATGGGAAAATGACATTACACAGGCAGTGACAGGAAAAACCCAGCTTTATATACTAGTGCCCTGATGTCTGACACAAATATATATTAAGTCAGAGTCATGATGACATTGTGCATTTTCTTTTTGTCACATGCCCCCCATGGAGATTGGTGTTGCTAGCTAATGCCATGGCCAGGCATTTACTTTCAACTTCACTACCTCATGAGAAATTGCAGTTACCCTGTTTTGTTTAAAAAAAAAAAAAACACCCCTGGAATTATTCTGGGCCATGCATTATCATATCTATCCAGATCAGGTGGATCTTTTTAGTCCTTTCCATTAACGCACATCAGCTGGGAAAAAAATATTCAGGAATACACCCAGGCTCACTGGCAACTGCAACTTTTAGGATTAAAAAAAAAAACAGTTCTAGGGAGGTCATGAGATCCTTTAGTTTAACACTTAGAAGTGGTTGTTCAGGATACCACCATCAGTCCTATGGTTTAGACTGTTGTGCTTTTCATTTGGGTATAACCAGATCAAAATGTTCAACAATTGGATCAATAGCAAAATCCAAATAAATAAGTGGTCCCACTTATCAGTTTATACCAATAATGATGTGCCACTTTGACTTTCCTAAATTTTGGAAAAAATTTTTCGAGTTTTCTATTGAAATTAGCTGAAAATTGAATTCAATATGGTGGATCCAAGCAACACATAATACAGTATTCTACTTTCTTTATCATGACCCAAATTCTTCAATAATACTTCCCTATTCAGCAAAATCCTTTCCAGTTGTAATTCAAAGTTTCTTGTTTACAGGTACAACATGTTTTACTGCTTTCAGTTGCTTTTGGCTGGCAAATTTATGATAAATTGCTTCTTTTCTAACCACTGTATCCAAGATCAGTTTCAAGATCAGTTTCTGGTGTTTTTTTTTTTTTTTTTGTATTACAACTCTGCATTTCCCCTCTTTTAATCATTTACTTGGGAAATTTACAAGGGAAATACAATTTCCCACAAGAAGAGAAAATTATGCTAGGCTAATTAAGTGAGACCATTCGAAGTGCAATTAAACAACCAAATATAATTAACAAGATTCAATGAAACAGTAATATCTGCAAATAGCAAACTTAAATTAAAAGCATAGGGTACCCCAGTAACACATTTGTGCTATTCATATAGCAAGTAGACAAGCTGCAATCTTTTTAATACCACTTCCTCCCCCACTCCTGCACATTATATTCTTTGATGTCATCAACTTCACTTTTATTCTTTATAAATTTTGAATAAATGGGGAATGAGAATTCCAAAGGAGTATAATCTTGGAACATCAATTCCACTAATTTGAATCAACAGCAAAGATTATTAGCAGAACAATGGCTTTTATTTGCTTATGGTTACTTATAATAATAATTTCATCAGATTTGGCTTAAAACTGATTCCATGTATTTGGAATAGCTTCCAATGTCTCCAGCCCACTAAAGCCAGCCTTTCCATAATCTTATGCATCTGTAGAGTAAAAAGAAGCAAATCTCACTGAACGCCATGAAATTTACTTTTAAAAATATATATTTAGAATTGTTCTCCACAGGTAAGATACTGGGGGAAAAAAATCTTTTCTTACATTCATTTAATAAGCTCTAAAAGAAAACTAGGTGAAGACTCTTTTTTAAAGCAAAAATGAAATTTTATAACACGTAAAAATTAATAAGACTAACCAATATATGGCTACTTTGAAGAGTGCTCACCAAGAATGGGCTGTTTTCTTAGAGACTGTACTAAAGATGGCATCTTAAATTTGCTTGTATCTTGCCAAGTTAATGATTTGGGATGTGTGGGCACTGTCCTCATTTTTACAGGTCAATGCTTTTAGCAATGTTCTGGGCTTCTCCATTTACAGTACTTAAAAAAGAGTACCTCTATTAACCCAGCCTTCTAGGAGCACAAATATTCTTTCTGATAAAAGCAGATGGGAAATCTTTGCAAGGGGCTCATTGTTGGCATGAGAACTCTGCCTTTTGGTGGGGCCTGCAAGTATCAGAGCCATCAACTGGTCTACCTTGCAGGCACAGGTAGTCCTCGACTTACAACCATTTGTTTAGTGATGGTTCCAAATTACAGCAGCAGCGGAAGAAAATGATGCACATCCGATCCTTGCACTTACAACTGTCACAGGATCCCCACAGTCATACATGATCGAAATTTGGATGCTTGGCAACTGGCAATTTATGATGCTTGCAGCATCCTGGGGTCATGGGATCACCTTTTGCCACCTTCTGGTTTCTGACAAGCAAAGTCAATAGGGAAACCAGATTCATTTGGCTCACTTAATGTGGCTCATTTAACAACTGCAGTGATTCACTCAAACATGCAAAAATGGTAGAAAAATCATGCTCAGCTCACTTAACGATCGTCCTGCTTAGCAATGGAAATTCTGGTTCCAACTGTGGTTGTAAGTTGAGGATTATTTGCAGAGTTTGGTTTGTTCATGATGGCAGCACTTTAGTTCAGAGTCCCTAAACTTGGCAACTTTAAGACTTGTGGACTTCAACTCACAGAATTCTCCAGCCAGGTGGCTGGAGAATTCTGAGAGTTGAAGTCCACAAGTTTTAAAGTTGCCAAGTTTGGGGACCCCTGCTTTAGTTTCTTGATCATTTTTGGATTATCTTATTGTAACATCTATAATTCTCACTCAGTGGCTTTAGACTCTGTAGCAAAGTTTTCACTAAACATCCTTTAAGAATTAAATTACTCTATCATAGAGCTGAGCTATTCTTTCTAAAATATATTCATATATGTATATTTACATATGTGAATGTCTAAATATCTATCCACCCTTGATAGATAGATACACAAATTATCTCTGTCATACAAGTCAAATGTAAACAAAAAATATAAATACTCTTGTCCTCTACGTATATGTACAGCTCAAATTTGATACTCAGAATTTGTTAATAAATATTCTAAATGGTTTATACAGATCTCTCTTTCTGTCTGTATATTGATAAGACAGCCACAAAGTATGCTTGACATATTTACAAAACATCTATAAATATAATTTTTAGAAATGATGTGTAAGCTGCTGATCCTTGGGTTGGGCTGGCAGCATTCAGTAGTAGAGTAGGCTCCTCACTATTACAGATGGATAGTGCAAGAAGTTAAAAGGGTGTATAAAAGATTATACATACAAAACTCTCACATCCTTTGGATGTTTGCAGTTCATTACAACTTTGTGGTTACCCTTTTGCAACATAAATATAAAGGAGAGGAGAAGGAAAGAGAAGAAGGTGGATTCCATTAACCACAGTAGACAGGTTCAGTGCATTTCTTTTGATCCATTAACCATGGAAATGGAGTAGGTTTATTCTTCATGGTAGCCCATCATCTTCTAGACTTAATGCCACACGCTGTTGAGAAAGAAAAAGGAGCATCACTACTTCAAAACTTAGTATGACAAGGCATAAACTTTACACTAGCCGATGCTCTTCTATTAAGAGATCGTTAAGGTAAGAAATAATTGTACAAAGGTATGTTTATAGTGGTTTATCTGGTATATCTGATTTATCTGTGCTGTGCTGGTGCAGTAGTTAGAATGCAGTACTGCAGGGTATTTCTGCTGACTGCCAGCTGCCTGCAATTTGGCAGTTTGATTCTCACCAGGCTCAAGATTGACTCAGCCTTCCATCCTTCTGAGGTTGATAAAATGAGGACCCAGATTGTTGGGGGCAATATGCTGACTCTGTAAACCACTTAGAGAGGGCTGTAAAGCATGGTGAAGCGGTATATAAGTCTAAGTGCTATATATCTATAGCACTTATATAAGCACTAAAAACTATATAAATATATAGCATAGCACTTTGTGTGTGTGTGTGTGTGTGTGTGTGTGTGTATTATAATTGTGCTTTTAAAGCTATAATGACGTGGGAAAATACCCGAACAGAGCTGAATACCATACATATAAATACCCGTGAAAACTTAACACACACACAGACACACACACACACACACACACATGTTTTCTTAAGTTTTTGCGGGTACTTACATGTATGGTATTCAGCTTTGTTCGGGTATTTTCCCACGTCATTATAGTTGTGCTTTTAAAGTTGTAGCAACGTTTCGGCAGAATCTCATCTGCCATCATCAATACATCAATACATCATCAATACGGAAGCCTGATGATGGCAGATGAGATTCTGCCAAAACGTTGCTGCAACTTTAAAAGCACAACTATAATGACGTGGGAAAATACCCGAACAAAGCTGAATACCATACATACATACATACATACATACATACATACATACCACTACAAGTAGCCCTCAAATTACAATGACAATTAAGCCCAAAGTATCCACTGCTTAGCAAGACAGTTGTTAAGTGACCTTTGCTTCATTTTATGACCTTTCTTGCCACAATTATTAAGTGAATCTCTGCAGTTGCAAAGGTGGCTTTGGGGCACTGCAACTGCTATTAATGCATGCCAGTTGCTAAGCACCTGAACTTTGATCACATAATCATGGGGATGCCACAATGGTCGTAAGAGTGAAAAGCGGTTGTAAGTCACTTTTTTCAGTGCCATTGTATCGTCAAACAGTCACTACATGGTTGGTTGTAAGTCCAGAACTACCAGTATTTGTGAATAATACTTGTTTCTTTTGGGAGTGAGATGTGTTGCATATAAATTTAATAAAGAATATAATAAATAATGACTCCTTCTTAAAGTAACTTATATTTTGATGCAGAGAAATTGGAAAGCAGAAAATACTCAAATGCTCTATTTCCTTGTTTTATAACATTTAGACAGTATGTGCTTTCATAGCTATTTAGCTTAAAAATTAAATACTATCAACAAATCATTTATGATAGATCAATACTGTGAAGCTAGATTGCTTTAGAAGAATTGATTTCATAACCTGAATTCTCATTTACGCCAATTCTTTGCATTTGGGCTAAGATTTGAACATGCCACTTAGAAAAAAAGAATACACGAATGTGATCAGTTTTGTAAACCTACACATTTGATTGATTGGTATATTTTCTCACATGATCCCAGGGGAAAACATGGCTGTTTTAAAGGCAAATGCAAGGTTGCTCTCTCACATGCTTTAATACTGCAATACTACTTTCCAAGATAAGTCAAAAATCTTATATTTTTATGGTTAGGTTAAGGAGCCTGTTCTAAATCTACCACATCTCTTCTCACAATATTTAAGCATTTTGAGATAATCCAAATAGATTTGAGAGGATGCCCCTCCCATACAATGATGGTATTTTCCACCATTATTCCATGCCCCAGAAAGGAGCATGTCTCTTGAATACATTGGCAAATATATTTAAGCGTATTGTCTATTTATCCCTACACCATTAGCAATGCCCATCGGAATAGCACCTTCTCCTTCCTTTGTATAAGGGGATAAATGTATAAACTACTTTGATGTACGCTGAGATAGTTTGCTTTGGGAGAAAGGAGAGACATGCAACCTTATCCTGAACCTGATTCAAGGGGTGTTCAGCCAAAAGATAAGATTAGGTGCTTATTTATTTATTAAATTTATATATCAACAGTTTCAATGAATTGATTGACAATGATTTTGTCAGGCACCAGGGAAATTAGGAGATTCAAGCAGTTCAAATGGGTATAAAGTTTTACTGCAAGCTTAAGCTTTCTACAAAAATCTAACAGCCAAAGGAAATTGGCGGTAAATAAGGGTAGAAGGAATTCAAGGTGGGCTGGACTTTTTTTTGCTTGTGGGTGCATAGGGACTCATGACTGATAATGCATTTGACCCCTCCCTCGGTCTCTGCCTGGTTATCTCCTACAGATTTATAGCAACACTATAAATCCTAAACACTAAATACTACAGTAGCGGGACTCAAATGAATACAATGGACAGCGTAGTAGACAGTGGATAAAGCATTCACTTACTGCTGGGTACACGTGACCAATCTGTACTGTTCGACCAATATGGATTTCATCTTCATCCTCTTCTTCTGTTGTCTTCCTGTACACAGGATTATCAAAATTCATGCTTTTTGTATTTTTCCTCTTCCAGTTTCGCCAGATGAGATACCCACCTGTGCATAGCAAGCCGATCACCACTAAAATAAAAAAAGGATAGGGGAATTGGAGAAATAAATAAAAAGAATTAGCTGTCTCCAGAAAGGTCATCATATTTCAATTGGCCCACTCATGGCATCTCTCTTCTGAGTTTGTTACGTTAGGCCAGGGTAGCAAAATTAAAATGAATGGCAAGATAGTAAACTTACTTACCAATAGGAACAACAATTCCGATAACGGCTGCCATCACAGTTGAGCCAAAAACCTGCCCATTGTTAGCATCTGCAATTAGAGAAGAACAACTCAGATTCCTATAAAGGAAAACTATAAGGACTGCACCAGTTGCCAGGTTCCACACAGCTGGCAAATTCCAAAAACACGGATTTCAGAAAAGCAATTTTAATGCTAATCTGGGAATTGAAAACTGTAAGGCAGTTTTTCCAGGCCAGCCAATGAAAGCAGAGTCTCTGAAATGCTTTCTAAACCTAACCGTATAGTTGTCACATCCAATCTGAGTTCCCTCTTTTCACACTTACAGAAAGTTCTCCATGGCCTCCTCCCCTCCCATCCCCTCCCATCAGTAGGAGCATCACACTGTACAGAATTCAGATTTTCTTGGCATAATGTTACCGTGTGTGTGTGTGTGTGTGTGTGTAGAGAGAGAGAGAGAGAGGGAGGGAGGGAGAGAGAGAGAGAGAGAAAGAGGGAGAGAGGGAGGGAGGGAGGCAGGCAGGCAGAAAGAGAGAGGCAGAGGCAGCAAACAATCATGTTCTGGGCAACTCAATTTGCCCTGGCTATCGAGTAGCTAGCATAGGAAATCCTGAAACTTGACAGACTCAGTTTTGTCTGCATAAACTTTAGGCATTGGATTTTCACACCAATGATGTGTGTCTGGATTTTCACCCTTAACTGGTGAAATATATGCAAGCATATTGCCAAATCTATGGAACTGATCCATTTGACATGAATCTGTTAACATGGCTACTGTTTAATGGAATTTATCAAATCTATAGCCCTAGGATCTTATATAATCCTTGAAAATAATTAAAAACAGCCACTGATCAGCAAAAAGTTGTGCTGTTTATCAAACCCAGATGTCACTTTAATCGTAGACTTTCTAGTAAATGTGAAAGTAAAGTATTAAATGTATTTGATTTAACCATCCCAGCCACCTTTCCTCACAACTTCATATCATCTTTTCTATTTCAGAGAAAAGGATAAAAAAAAGGAAGAGCTAATATTAAAACTGTTTTGAGATAACAATATTTTGGAGTAATCTATTATTTTGGGATTCCTGAATCACTTTTAGGTGCACTGCCGAAATTTCTTCCCAAAAGCCCAAAACTAGATTACGGCAACATGTAACATGTTAAGTTTTTGTGCAAGGGGGAACTTTCATATGCTAGACCTACCACTTTGGAAGTAGGTAGGTCATCAAAAAGGGATAGCATTTTTATATAAAACAAAAGAAAAGTAAGAGACAAATCCTCTATTTTGTTTCCACAAAGAAATGCAGTCCCAACTGAAGCTATTTGGGGAGCAGAAAGACAAATTTATATTTGTTTATTTACTTTAAAATTGTAAGTCAGTCCAAATTTTTACTAGTTAGTTAGTTAGTTAGAGGCCACTTGACTCACAGTGCTGGAAGAGATTGCTATTTCCTGTTGCCATGTTACTGTCAGCTGGGCTGGACGTCACTGTGATTGAATGAAGGCTTGTCATGCTGAGAAAGACTTGTGCTGTAGTTTCTGATCCTTCCGTACTAACGTTGTCAGTTGTGGTAGTCATACTGTCAGTAGTAATAGCCGTAAAGTTCAGAAGGTAACTTCTTGATGTTGTAGGAGTAGCAGCAGTAGTAGGCAATTCAGTTGAAGTAGCTGGAAGCTCTGAAATCATTATTAAGCACAGCTTTATTTATACATTTATTTTGTCCAATGTATATGGATGCCTATCTCCCGGTGGTGACTTTGGGTGGCCAACAGAAGGCAGGATAACCTCCCATAAAGTGGTGCCTTCCAACTGCACTGGACTATATTTCCTTTCTCTTTACTTCTTCATAGAAAAAACATAGTGCAACTTTAGTTAGTGGAAAAAGCAAACTAATATAAAATAGTTTAAAAAGGCTTAAATGAAAGGAGCCTCCCAACCCTATTTTCTACAGGTAAAGTTATGGCTGTAATGGAGCCTGCCCATTACGGACATAAGTCAATTTTACAACATTTTTTGCAGTGGTTAATTAAATGCAAGGGTTGTAAGTGAATCCATTATTCATTGTTTGTTTATACCCTGCCTTTATTATTTTTACAAACAACTCAAAGCAACGAACATATCCAACATATAGTACCTTCCTCCTATTTTCCCCACAACGATTCCATGAGGTGAGTTGGGCTGAGAGAGAGTGACTGGCCCAAAATCACCCAGCAGCCTTTCATGGCAAAGGTAGAACTTGAAGTCCCAATCTCTTGCTTTCTAGTCTGGTGCCTTAACCACTACACCAAACCAGCTCCTTATGGTGCCTTGGCGTACTCAGGTGCAGTTTTGCTGAAAATCGGAAGTTAGTGCCGATTTTTATCAAAGCTGTTGTAAAACATGATCATGTGGACTGTGAGACACTACAAACAGCCATAAATGCGGCTGTGTTTCCAAGCGACTGAAACGTGGTCATATGACCATGGGAGGTGTGGAAGGCAGTGACTGTTGGAACTTCGGATCCAGGTCAAAAGTCCCCTTTTTCAAGTAGGTCATAGCTTCCAACAGTCACTAAACAACTAGTCATTAAGTTGAGGACTACCTGTATATATCTTACAGTTTTAAGCTTCCAAGTTTTTAAAAAGAATGGCTGAGAGGGAAAGAGATACGAGAGACCATGATACAGACACAGTGTAGAGCAGGGGTAGTCAACCTTTTTATACCTACTGCCCACTTTTGTATCTCTGTTAGTAGTAAAGTTTTCTCTAACCGCCCACCAGTTCCACAGTAATGGTGATTTATAAAGTAGGGGACAAAACCCCTACTGCCCACCATGAAAGCTGGAACGCCCACTAGTGGGCGGTCGGGACCAGGTTGACTACCACTGGTGTAGAGCAACAGTGTAGAACAGAACAATGAATTCCAAATGGTTGCATCTAATGTTAAGTGCAAACCACAAAACAGGGCACAAACCAGGAATCCAAAGAATTGTCTAATTCCTGGGAAGGAAGTTCCTCTCTAAACAGGATAGGGGAAGGTTTACAAAGTATAGGCAGGTATCTTTACCTTTATAACACTTTTTCATGTCAGGGCCTAACCACATATTGTCTGGACAAGCACATGTGTATTTGGGCGAGTGTGGAGAGTTTTGTGGTGCTGGGAGACACAGGTATTCACACCCTCCATTTGGCAGAGAATGAAGTTCACAAACATCTGGAGCTGCATATAGGAAAAAGAAATAAGAATTAAGTTTGAGGATTGTATTTATTTATTTATATTTATATTTAATTGTATTTACCTATCATAATTAAGCCACCCATCTCCTTCACAAATGATCCTATTGATATGGTAGTAATATCTTTATTGATTTACTTTTTTGTATGGTTTTCTATTATAGAAATAGTTCTACACACACACACAACAAATCAATCAATCGTGTTTAGTCCACTGCAATTGCTATCATTTTGGGGTATAGATGCATCAAACACCCATCAATCTTGTTTCACAAACTACCATTTCCACCTAGGAAAACTACATTATATTTTCTCATATATGATGAACAATATGTCCATATCATTACTTAGGCAAATAGCAAGAAACCAAATGACTACTTTAAGTACCAGAAAAATATTAGAATCATTTACTCTGTATGTTGAAATACAGATCCCATCACTCACCAACCATAATGTCCAATAGCTATACTGATAAGTATGGCTTGGCCAGGAAATGACAGGACCTACAACCTACCACCCAATCTAGAGGGATCCATAAAGAGAAAGCTGAGAACAGTTTCCATATTAAGAGAAGTCAGGCTCAAATCTTGTATCATTCAGACTTCGATGCATTATTAAACCAGAAGCACACCTTACCTTTAGGTTGCTTTAGTTCATGAAAAACTACAATGTCATGAGGATTATTGAGGTTCTCTGCCAAAATAGAAATGTCGAGACCATTTAGCCTATTAGCACTGAAGATTGCCTCATTCTCTAAGTCCGTCCAGAATACTCTGTCCTACAACAATGGAGAGAAAGAGAGAAAGACTCAGACTGTATTAAATACCAGCTGGAACTTTTCAAGCATTGCTTCCCTACGAATCAATCTCCTTGGCATTTTGTCTTTCATAAAGAAGTCGTGCACAATTCTTTCCAGGGTCATAGAGAACAGATAAGTGGGTAGTTGACTGCTGTCAGCCGCTTCACAGAGGGATTGATCTGTATGGCCCTCCTAATGTTTTCTCCCCCCCCCTCGCCCAAAGCTTGCGTGTGAATTATGTGATCCTCTCCATGGAGATTCTGATCTATGCAATAGTAATTTATGTTGGCATTTGGCTTTGAAAGTCATTAAGTGAAAAAGTGGCTCCACAAAACAAGCAAGCAAGCAAATATAATTAGATGTTGTAAGTGCTCTTTAAAATCAAGTTTGTGTGATTTTTTTTCATGTTTTTTGCCAGTGGAAGAAGAAAGTATACAGGGAGCAAAGCGACTCTGCAAACTAGAGGAAATTTATCTATTTCTTTCCCTTCCTCTCTTACCTACATAACATGCTATCTTGCTGATCTAAGAAGATGCATTCATGTAAGGCAACCTCTGGGCATGTGTCACCTGTTGAACTGACCAGAAATTGTAATGCATTCAGGTACCTCTCCCTCTGATGTTTAAAGTGCCTGCCACCGAAAGCAACAAAGCCAGGATCAGCAACTGAATAGACATCCAATTCAGGCCAATAATTCAAAAACATGACTCAGACATACTGAATATTTTCTGAGCTTGGCAAGCACATACAAAAAATAGCAAGGTTTTGTCCTGCAACATAATACTTAACTGAATACTCACTATCATGATTTTAATTTACAAGGTTAAATCTTTTATCAAATCTTAAATTGACAAATGCAGTACAGCAATTTCATTTCTGTCAAAGTAAGAACCTATTTTGGATGTAGGCCAAATATTATCCAAAACAATAGGAATGCTTTACTTAGTCAGGGAAAAAAAAAGGAAAATGATCTCTAGAACAACCAAATTCTGCAAAAACAGCCTTGTATGACCAATGTCTAATTTTCTCCTTTAGTTTGGATATGGATTCATTCCTTATTACATTCTTTTCTTTCCACACATTCTAAGCATGATTAACTATGTTATATAAGGTATTTACCTCCTGAATATATATAGATATAGATAGATCTACCTAGATCAGTCTTGACTCCCATTTTTTTGTTTTTTTTTTACCTCAAACACAGCCAGTCCAAATGGGTGGCTCAGGTTGTCCACAGAAGAGATGAGAACTTTCCGGTTGCTCCCATTGAAATCTACACTTGAAAGCAAGTGCAACTTGGAATCAACCCAGTAGAGACGTTGATTCAGCAAATCTGAAGAGCAAACACATCAAAGGTAGGATTACATCTCTGTGTTTGATCTTTGTCCACGTGTATGCATTTTTGCGATTTCTTTTACTACATTAGAATCCTGGAAATCTCAGTCATTTTATGAAAACAATTCAGGGAAAAGAAGAAAGGAATGTTAGTTAAGGATGGCAGATAACATATTTTTAAATATGATCACAGTGTATGATCCAGACTGTGTAATGTACACTGGAACTATCATGAAAGTGAGACTTTCTCTTTCAGAAAGAATATTTTCCGTGCTTGTTTTCAGCATATGTTCAGAGTCACTGCAGAGATGCTAAATAAACGCATGAAGAAGATATCCGAGAAGCCACAGTAATAGTCCAACCACTTAAATTCTCCATGAACACTAATATTAGCAGTTGGTGTTCTTTTTTAAATAATTACATTAACTTGTAGAAGTAGGAGATCAGTTCTTTGCCTAATTAATTTGAGAAGATAATGCATGGGATTAACATACTACCTTATTTGCAGACCTGGTTCCAAAAACATGATGTAGCAATCAACACATTTCAGAGGAGTGAATAATCTCTCTTTTTTTAATTGAAAGTGGAGGGGTCAGTAACATTCACAGGATCGTGCTGTTGTTATTATTAACATTTGCATGCAGCCTGACTCTTAGCAATGCTGGAATGATAATGAAAATAAAAGCTTTGTGGTGTGTGACACCTCAGTGTGTTGTCATGAGGCATGCATTAAAGGGGGAAGACTTGCATCTAAATGCTGATTTTGTCAGTCTGAAACTCCCCTTCCTGCTTAATTGGTAGGAAATGTCAAATTATGTGGGGAAAGAAAGATAGGCCTGTATATTTTTCCCCTCAGCCTTTCTCAAAAGCTATCTTCCTCTTTCTTTCTTTCTTTTTTTTGGTAAATTTTATTTGAGTTTTCACAAAGAGAAAAAAAAATACAAATAAAACATCTTTTTTGAAAGTAGCGTAATCCCGGGTTACATTTCTTCATACAGACACAAATTCAGGTTCATGCTCATTTTTATATTCTATTCCATATCTTATTACTATTTTACGTTTTCTGCACAGCTTCTCCCCTCTTTTAATTTTCTCAATGTTATTTTAATTATCTCATCTCAATTCAAATCATTGTATTTATATTTTTTGTCTGTCCTGTTTCAATTATCTATTATCTTTTCTCATTAAACAAAATTTCTTCTGTAGTTACTGATTGGAGTATGACGCCTTTATATCTTTTCCCTAAAGTTGTAATATTCAATATAATACATAACTTCCATTCGGATTCTGCTTGGTACATTCTTAAAATACACACTGTATTCTTAAAAAAAGAAAAAATTATAAATGTATATAATTAAAACAACATTCCATTCCAATTCAATTCTATCATTAATATTAATATTCTTTAAAGTCTTAACATCTTTAACATTACTTTTCAATTAAATATCATACTTCTATGGGAACAATTATAAGCTTTCCATAGTTAATTCCCCCCCTTCACTTATATTTTATAAAACATTAACTAATTAAAATGTTCCCGTTCCTTCCTAATTCAATTTTCTCATTTATTTTATTTCACTTATTTTATTCACAAACATTTCACTAAATTACATTAACTATTTTATCCCTCATTTTAATCATGCGTTGTTTCCAATTTTCTAAAGTTATTTCTATTACTAATATAACAATACAATCTTATGTACCTTTACAGAATCCCTTTTTCAGTTAGATTTTCACCCATTATCTCTAAATAGGTCCTGTTTCTCTATATCTTGCTCCAGTCCTTTGTAACTTCTTTTCCTTTCCTTCTTCCCTCTCTTCTTCTCTCTCCCCTTTTTACCCCCTTGTCTCTCTACCTCTATTTCTCTCTTCTGTATTCCCCTTTTCTGTTGCTTTCCAGTATTATACTTATTTTTCAAATTATTCTTCTTTTCTTTGGTTGTTTTTTTAAGTCTTAAATTCTCCATTCTCTTCCCCCCCTTTCCTTTTTCTTCCCCACATAAAATTGCTTGTTCATTAAAGATGGCTTCTTCTTTGTCCCAGTCTTCTTGTTTTGCAGTCTTTTCTTGTTGTTTCTCATAGTTCCAAATCTCCATTTCTAAGAATTGAAAAACAAAGCCAAAAGAACCCTTCCCTTCTTGTGCATCTTTGTACTTTTTAAGTTCCATTTTCAATTCATCCAGAAGTGGTGCCATTGTATACATTTTTAAACAACCACCCGATTGATTTTAGTCATTCAAATATAATAACCAAGAATCCAAAGATCACCAAATAATCCAAATACACGCAAGCTGTTTCTTTTTTGCTCTTTTTTTTCACTTTCTCTTCCTGGGGTTACTATTTAGTTGCAAAGTTTCAGTTAAAATGTATCTTTTAGAAGTCTTGTTGAAGTTTTACTGTAGATTCTTTTTAATTCCAGGCAGTCTCCTCCCTCTTCCAGATCCTGCCCTTATTCTTTTTCTCTCCCTTCCTGCTTATGAAAAAGAAAATTTTTAATGTCCAAAAATCTTTATTATCCCTTTGGCATTTTGTTTTATTTTCAGCTTAATTTCCTATTGATGTCAAAGCGGATTTTTCCGATTTCTTATTTAAGTCTCTTAGTTGTCAGTATAGGGAAGGAGAGAGAAGAAAAAAAAAGCCAAACCTTTCCCTTTTCACTTTCCTTCGCTGCTTCTGACACTTCTTTGGGAGCGATGTTATTTTTTGTAAGTTTAAATTCCAGGGTACCTTAGTTGTTGCTTTTACAATTTAACCCGGTCAGCCAAAACTTTCACTTCTTATCTTCCTCTGGCACATTCTTTTCCGGTCAAGTTCTTCTTTGTGGTGGCCATTTCTGACCACCGCTGCAACTGCCTTCGGGAAAGGGAGTAATGGCCAGCTGAGGAGGAGAGATGCGGCTCTCCTCAACCCTGCTGGCGGTCTCCCCCCTCTTCACCACCTCTACGGCGTGGCTTAGCCCCGAAACCAGCCAGCTCGGGGCGCTCCAGCGGCAAGCCCAGACAGAAACCGCGCACGATCGTGGATTTCTATTTGTCGCCGAAGCCCTTCAAACCGGAAGTCCCTAAAGCTATCTTCCTCTTTCAAAGCAGGGAAACTTGCAAGAGTAAGAAGGGCAAATAGCAAGGAAATAATTTTCACCGAATAATGGTAGAGACTCTGTTTTTTTTCTCAATTCTTTTCTGATCCCCACAACATAATTAAATCTTTTTTTTTTTCAGTTAAAAGAAGAAACTTAGAATTAAAAAAAACTCCCAAGATTGTAGAAAGGAATAATGGGCTGTAGAACAGTACAGTATATATCTTGTAGGCCACCTTCAAATTCAGGCAATCATGCGTATGGCTATGGTGAATTGCTACTGAACAGTATAAACAAAATGAAGCTGGATTAATCAATGCTCAGACTCAATATGAAAAAACACCTTTATTTGTAGTATACAATATTTTGAAAATTTAGAATGATCTAGTTCCAGTTTTCCAACATACCCAGTGTGATTCCATTGGGCCATTCAATGTTGTCTGTCACGAGCACTTGACGATCCATACCATTCAAGCCAGATTTCTCAATTTTTGCTATGTCTCCCCAGTCAGACCAATACATGTATCTACAAAACAGAATAGATAAAGAAGATCTATGCTACTTGAAAAGCAGTTTTCCTTCAGATTTCCAAGTGCAATACTGTTTGAAGTAACTATTGCTTGATTGAACAAGAATGTACCAAGGTGACCAAATTCTTTAAAGGGTAATACTATATTTAACTTTTCCTAAGAAAGACCATCCATCAGGTGGTTCTGATAAATTCCAATGCCTTGGTTATTGCGGAAGTAGGAAATCCACAGTGACTGCCCAGCATCACAATATCATGTTTCAGGCTACAATACCGAGTTAGAATAAATACACCTAAGAATAAGAATCCATATTATATAGCATTTGAATAGCCCAATTTGAATTCTGAAAGTAGAAAGGATACAAAACAGAGGTGGTATTCAGCAGGTTCTGACCAGTTCTGGAGAACTGGTAGTGGAAATTTTGAGTAGTTTTGAGTAGTTTAGAGAACCGGCAAATACCACCTCTGACTGGAGATTTTACAGTATCCTTCCCCTGCCACGCCCACCAAGCCATGCCCACAGAACCGGTAGTAAATTTTTTTGAATCCCACCACTGATACAAAAGCACATATGAAGCAGTAGGAATATCCAATTAGCAGTAGATATATGCATATATGCAGTAATATGCATTTAGTTGGTATTGTCACTTCACAATCACAGCCAGCAAAAACTCTGACTGCTAATGTACATCCGTGAAATAAACTCTAATTAATGTGATTGCTGCAGTGTGAGAACCGTAAGAATCAAGGCTGAAAGAATAGTAAATTCAGCAATACATAGCAGAGTAATCTTTTATACCTACCCCCGAATGGGATCCACTGCAATAGCTCTGGGTTCACTTAAGTTAGTACTGAAAAGTGTCCTCTTCTTATGCCCGTCAGCTGTGGCTACAGAAATGGTCTTGTTGCCTGAATCTGTCCAATAAATGTTCTTGTGGACCCAATCCATTGCCAGACCTTCTGGGGAGTGTAACTGGCTGTCTATCAGAACCATCTGCTCAGCTGTGTCACTGGCCTTATCTATGTAGGCACTATAGAGAGGAGACTCAAATTATTCATGTAACTCTGCAAAGGGGAGGGGGGGGATAATGGTATAAGAAAGGATGCCCTCACAAAGAGGGAAAACCAAACAAAATGAGGAGCAAACAAGGCATAAAATCCTATATTAATTTTCTGACAAGAGAGTTCTGCATACTTATACATCCCTGCTCTGAATGGTTTGCAATAAGCAAAGTAAGCAGTGCGATTTAATTGTAGTAAGAGACATGCTGTTTCCTTTGCGGATCTTGATGTCTATTACTATCGCATCACCAAAACTTCAGAAGTACAAAGTTTGTTCTGTGCACAGGCTTTCACTCAGGTTCAAAATAATGTAGAGTCTACAGCACAGGTGTCAAACTCGTGGCGTCACGTTGCTGTCACGTGATGTGTCACGATGTCCCCCCCCTTTTGCAGAGCTGGGGTAGGTGTGGCCTGCGCATGATGCATCTGGCCCGCGGGCTGCCAGTCTACACCCCTGGTCTACAAGACCTAACATTTTGTTTAGATCAGAGGTCTCCAAACTTGGCAACTTTAAGACTTGTAGACTTCTTTTCAGAATTCTGGGAGTCAAAGTCCACAAGTCTTAAAATTGCCAAGTTTGGGGACCCCTGGTTTAGAAGTTTGCAAGAGTAGGGTAAGAAAAGCGGGTTCTCTCTATGGATGGGCTAATCAGGCTCTGCTCTCCCCTTCACACAATTGTTACTCACATGAAGAATAGGTAAACAAGGCTTAAGTCATGCAGATGCATAGGTATTGGATGGAGATTACATGCCTTGGCAATAGTACTTGTGAAAAAGAGGCTCAAATTATGATTGCTAAGTGCATATGAGTTGGCAGCGTGATATGGTCGCAAAGCAGGCAAATGAAATTATAGGTAACAGAATAGAACTATAGTTTCCAACTCATGAGAAATAAAAATTCCATTCAATTTTGCTTTGGTCAGTCTCCCATCTCAAGTATGGTGTTCAGTTCTGGGCATTACACTTTAGGAAGGATTCAGAAGATCTGAACAAGGTTCAAAGAAAAAAGTAATGATGATTATGGAGTTACAGACTAAGTCCTATAAAGAGGATAAATTTAGCTTTGAGAAGAGGAAGAGTGAGAGGGACTTGCAATAGGATTTTTCCTATACCTGTGACGCAGAAGAAAGCCAAGATTCTGTTGTTTCGGATTGCAAGATGTGAAATAATAAATTATAAAAAGGCAAATTCCAGTTGAATGCTAAGAATAGCTTAATGAAAAGGGCAGTTGGACAATGGAGCTAATTATATCCTGAAAGATAATGGACTTCTTGGTTTAAGCATGGCCTGAACAGTTATCTATCAGGCAGGGATGTTTTAATTTAGGTTCACTGCCTTCACACTCTCTTCCAAATAATATAATTCCATGAAAAAAGCTCACATTTACTTTATTTATTTATGTATTTTTGAACTATCAATACTGATAAGTGTCAAAAACACAGAATTATAACAGCAAATACTACCTAGTCTGAGTGTAACTATCAAACACAGTACTTGTACATTTAATGGCCATATCTTGGTCTGGCCAACTAATTCAGTAAACTAAACTAATTCGCCTTTTTTGTATGGTCAACATTGAAAAAAATTAAGTCCAGTATTTGCCAGGAAAACAATAGGCCACGTAATGTTCAGATCCTAACTCATCCAGAATTACCCTTCTATTGGATTGCAAAGGTCCTCTTTGTCTTCCTGATCTTGGACCAGCTGCTTTTCAGATCAGCAGAAAACAATTTTTGGTTTGTGGATCAACAGCTAAGTAATGTGATTTGAAAATGTTTCCTCAGAACTAGGTACAGCAGATTTCTATTGAATTGATTCCCTGTAATATCAAAGGATGCATTCTAACTTGATTTATTTTATGGGGTGCCTGGAAAAGAATGTAAACTTTCTCTCCATGACATTCACCACAGAATAATCCTTCACTGGGAAGAAAGTGGAGTAAATACAAGGCCAAGGTTCAGATCACTTTATTAGATACACAACTAACAAACTGAGAAAGAGTGAAGTACTTCTGAAAAGGAATCAGCGGATGTGGAGGCTCTACTGGGATATTCTTGCTCTTCTCCTCAGAGTCCTTGGGAAACATTGAGAAATGAAAATGTAAGAGGAAAGATATTGTGAGCAAAAGGAGGAGTTCTTCCTACAGTTTCATTAAATATTTTGATCCCTATTACAAGTGTGAGAGGGAGGGAATAAGAAGGGGCAATGATAAAATATGCATGGAAACTCTGCCTCATTTTTCATTGTGTCGTAACATCACAGAACACAAGTTTCATCAACTTGACAAAAGCGTTTGCTTCTTTAGCTGTGACTAGCTTCCATTTATTCAGTGCCTGATTCCCTTCTGGCTCATAAGAGGTTTTAACAGGGCTTCTCAGCTATAAACAATCACTGGTAGTTCTCATTTGTCCCAAGCTTTTCAGTATTTCTGAGAATGCAGTAGGTGGCGCCCTTCTCTTTCTAACTAAGACAGTGACATTTTTGCATGTGAATTAGTGTGTGTAAGAGTGTCTGGCGTAGATGCAAATTAGTGCAGGGCCATGTGTAAGAGTGCCCAGTGTGGATACAGCTAACATGGTTTAATTTGCTCTTAACTGAAACAAGAATGAACGTTTTTCTGGTATGGTCATTCAACTTAAAGCCCATTCTTTCCCATTATGTCCTGAGTAAGAAATTCTAAATACAATGGCTTGCAAATCAAGATCACAGAGATTTGCAGGAAGAAGTTCCTCTAAGATACAATTTCCTAATTTATTTTAGAAAGCCAGTGAGAATTGCATTCAGACCAGAGATGGACAAAGCTCCTTATTGTAAGGACTCTCTTCCAGCTGGTAAGCATTTGTTTTTCCAGCAGGGACCCAGATCCTACCTACAGTACTTCTCCTCTATCCTTTTCTTGCCCATGGACTAAATCAGAGAGAGACCTTTTCCCTTCTGATTCAATTTTCACACAAGTACATAAATTGGCCCTGATTATTCTTATATTTTAAAATAACTGCCTACTGTACCAGAGCTCAAAGTCTCAAGACAAACCTGTTACAGTTAGCAGTGATGAAGAAAATAAGTCGAATCTTAAGCTTGACAGATTTTTGCTATCAGCAAGCTGTAGGAGAAGTGCCACATTAAATAATGCTCAGATATGAATGGGCAGATAAATACTGTTTTTCTACATTTTTTGCAAGGCTCAAAGAAGCTTACCAAAATAATTTTCTCTCACTTTCTGCTTATTTTCCTTTTTCAAGAGTTGATGAATTCCTAACTAGCTGCTTCTTTGCAATCAGCAGGTGATGATCTTAAAAAACAAAGTAAAATCTTTGCTTCCTCTATAACAGGCTTTCCCAATGTTGGCAACTTTAAGACATGTGGTCTTCAACTCCCAGAATTCCCTAGCCAGCATAGGGAATGGCTGGCTGAAGAATTCTGGGAGTTGAAGTCCCACCTGTCTTAAAGTTGCCAAGGTTGGGAAGTCCTGCTCTATAATAAGTTCCTGATCTTTGGACTCACCTTTCCCAGAATTTGGTCCTCAGGAAACTCATCTTTGAGGGTTACTCAAAACCAGAATGAACCATTCCTGACAACACAGCAGAGGTGGGTGGGGATAGCAATTTAGACTTGAGTGCAGAAAAGGGACAATTAGATTTGTTGCACAAAGTCAAGGTTAATCCACTCATAATTTGATAATTTGGTACGTGCATCAGGACAATAGGCTCCAAAGATGCACATTTTCAATAGACATAGTTCTGATGCCACGAAGCCAGAGGTGGGCAACTAAGTCTCCTTTATGACCAGTGAACTTCAATTTCCAGAATTCCTAACCCAGAAAGGATTTCAGGAAATTGAAGTCCTCAGCTCATAAAGGGGCCATAGTTGCCCATCCCTGAACTAAGCTGTCATAGATATGAACTTGATTTTCTTGCTGGGAAGATGGAGGATGAATTGGGAGGTCGGAGATACCCCGCACCTGTATATCTTCCTGTAGAATAAATCACACCAGTATATCCTGTTGGTTGCCACTTCCACATCCAAAGCAACCACATTCTTCAGCATGGGGATGATGCGAGAGTAATCCTTTTTCACCAGGTCAATCTTGCGTACTTCGTGGCGGTTTGTGAAAACAAGATATGGGCTCTTTCCTGCCAAGGAATCCACAAATCATAGCTTTATAAGAAATTTAGGATATAGCATAGCTTTTAAAAAGCCAGCTTTGGAAAAATCTCAAAACTATTTTTAGAATAAAAAGGATTGGCAGTAGCTGCAGTCCTGATCATCATTTCCTGGGCACACTGCTCTAATCAACTAGCAATTTATACCTTCTTTCTCCCTCACTGAGAGAACACGAAAGAGTCACTCCCACAATTGTGCACTGGAGAGGAAGAAAATTCAGGACATTCAGCACCTATGTATATTTTTACATTATAAATGTAAATATATGAAAATGGAAAATATATCTTTCCCCTATAAATTACATTTTTAATGGCTAGATTACTTTGGTTCATATCAGATTAGAAGCATTCTCCTTTGGCGCTTCTCCAAAGAGAGAGGTTCTGAAATCCAGCTTTCACAATTGGGATGAAATACCTGCTATGCTCCTTAAAATACTGATTTTTAAAAGAAAAAAGAAGAAGTAAATTCTTATAAGGATTTTATTGTTTAGGAGATAGATACAATTGGCATTTGCCCCTCATGATGGTACCTTGTCTAATATTAAACAGATAAAAGAAGAAAATACCAATAACCAAAATTAAAAGATAAAAGAAGCTAAGTCCCAACCCTACTTGTTTCTTTCCCTACTCTCTCCATTCTGGCATTTTGTGAACAGCAATAACATAAAAAAAGCAGAGTTGAAGGCATAATGAATGTTGTCTGCAGAATAGAAAAGTACCAGAGTTTTGTTTTGCCTTGGTGATTTAAATGAGGAGCAGGAATATATGTATTGTGAAAGGAGTGAAACCTCATGAATTTTTCTGGGTCTTGGAAAAAAACTTATGATATTCTGGATTGGGCAGAGAAAGCACTGTCATTATTAATCCAGAACTTTTCTGGATCACTATATCAGAAAATTCTAGTTTTTGTGAAATTTAGTTAAAATTCTGTGATTTTTTTTTTCTTTTTAGTCAATTAGAAAAAAGAAGATAATAGCAAAAGGCAGTTTAAAAAAATGATTATCAAAAAATGATGCTAGAAGATCTTTGTTCCACTCCAGGAAAATGAAGTGAGTGCTGCAAAGTTCCATCTTGTCTCCTCCTGTGCTTTTAACATCTAAATGAAATCCAGAAGGTTGGACTCAAATGTCAAAATGCAGACGATATTCAGCCCAGGAAGCTGTGAAATTTTTGAGATGAAAGGGGATGAACCAGCCAAGGCTTAAACTTGGTAAAGCAGAGTTACTATAGGCAAGGAAGATGGACATTTATAAATTATTGATGAATTGTGTTATTTTTCACAAATGGAATAGAGCATCTTCTTACCTATGGCTTTGCAGTTTTTAGACAGGGTGTCCATCTCATAACCATCATAACATTCACATTTATAGTCCCCCTTGTAGTTAATGCAGATCTGGCTACACGCATCTGGATTCTCACATTCATCTATATCTAGAAGAGAGTTTAGAATAATTGGTAATTTGACATTAAGCCATCAGATCATAGGACATCTGCAAGGAATTCTAATCTGGATATTCCAAGTAAGTTATGAGTATTATATGCAAATTACCTCCACACGTTTTCTTGTCCATAAGCTTGTATCCAGGAGGACATTCACATTCATAGCCAATCTTCAAGTCCTTGCAAATGTGGGAGCAACCACCATTGTTCAGGGCACATTCATTCACATCTAGAAGAATGACAGTATTTAGATTAAAACTGAATTCTGTGCATATAAGACTGACATTTTAAAGTGTGAAATGGCTTCAGATATTTCCAGAAACCACTAAAAGGTTTATTTAAATAGACATGAAAACCTTTTTTTCTTCTAAGAAAAAAAGTAGCGATCTGAACTTTCTTAAGGCAACCTACTCATGCAATTTTGGTTTAATTTGTATCTGAACTCAAAGTGCTCATTTGTATTGTTTGCTTTCACTTCATAGGTACAATAGTGGGAGAAAGATGATAAGTAATGAATGAGCCAAGTAAAAATCATCCAGTAGTTACTCTAATGCCAAGCCCACGTTTAAGATCCTAAATGGGCAAACAGAATAATTTGGCAAGAATGTTCTTCTAATGGATCAGGACTATATACGAAAGGTTGCACTATAAAATAAACAAGCAATAAGAATCCAGAAATGTCAACTGTTTCTGGCTCAACTTTTTTCAACTGGATGTCTTCCAGATACATTAAGTTTCATTTTACTGTATTCCTTCACATCTAGAAGTCATCACATTGGCAAAGGCTATTCTAGTGAGGGGATTAGATTTTTTTTAAAGAATCTGTTTTCATATAATCTATAAGACACACAAAAAGTAGTATTGCAAACATGTGGTTAGATTAAAAAAAAATATCAAAGCTTCAAAGCATAATACATCGCCAGTCCAGGTAATGCTAGAAGTTTGTATTTTTCCAAAAATCCAGTGGAATGCACCATTATAAAAAAGGAGGAAAAAATCAAAAGGGGGAATCTGTCCTAGTTCTATTATCCCTAGATCTGACTATCTGAGACTTTCTTCTATCCTGCTCTTTGTTACTATGCTAAAGTTATAAATATAATAATGCTTCCTGAAAAGAAAAAAAATCAACCCACTGTAATCCATATGTAATCCATTCCTATCTATCTAAGATAAAATGATCCCCCCCAAACATTTGTAATATATTTCATTTGAAAAAAAGAACATCCTTGCCTGTAATCATACACACACCTGGAAATTTGTATGAGCAGAGTCCTCATCATCAGTTCCCCAATGGCAGACACTAAAAGTGAAAATGTAGTCCAATTTACCCTGGCTACTGTAAATTGCCAAAGGGGTCGAAGGAAGTCATTTCAATTCTTGAAACAACCATTTACTTGTCTTTCCAATTAACCTATCCAAAGTGAGGGACAAAAATGTTTTTCTTTTATTGTGAGATTTGCTGTGCAATTAAACATCTCAGAAACTGGGTTACTGAGATTTTTTGGACTAGCCCAGATATGTAACAGATGATGCAATTCCTTTGATTCTTTTGTTTAATGAGGAAAAAACTTAACCGGTAGAATATGCTGCACTGGAAAAACGCCCACATTTTGTAGCAAATTTTCCAATTCTGAGCAGAAAGTCACAATTCACAATGTTATTAGCAGAAGTAAGTTTATTGCTGAATTAAAAACATGGTGGTGCATTTGAGCTACTGCTTAAAATTCAGATTGATCCTGTCCATAACTCTTGCTTACATCATGCACCACAAGCCAATTATGCCAAATGAGACTGTAACTCTCAAGACCATCTTCCATTTTAATTGGTATGTATATCTATTTTACATTTCCATGCCATCATGCCAATGGGTTCTAAGCAGCATACACTAATAAATTATAGTAAAATACTGTAATCACATGGAAGATAAACTCAACAGTAAAGAATAACTTTCAGACCAATTTTCTGGCATCAGAAAGACACATCATTCTATAGTCCAGGATGCCAGGTTTCCTAATTGTTTACTACAACCCAGAGGGTGGATGGGCCATGCATTGAAAGTGTACTGTGTCTGTGAAAAGGCTGGTAGTGAGAGGCATATACTTCAGTAAATAATCTAGGTTCAGCAAATCACTCTATATTTTAAAGAAATGTATATTTTATTGCCCCGATAGATGCAATAGCTACCATGAAACAGTCTGTGATTAGCATGTCTCCAGGCAGCTGTCTTGAGGTAAATGGTTTCATTATCAAATGTATGTTTTTATCAAATTTCACTCCAACACTGGAAAGTTAGTTCCCTTTAACATTTAAGACATTTCTGTGTTGTTGTTTTTTTCAGTAGCAAAATGGATATAGTTGGCCATTGCCTTTTTCCTGGATACTGTTTAGCGTCCCAGTCTATCTTCCAGAACTGTACTAGAATGTTGTGAGGTCTCCCATCCAAGTATTAACCAGGCATACCTCTGCTTAGCTTCTAATTCCAACCAATATCAGCAGGAAGATGCTGTTCCCTGCTGCTATTTCACTGAAATGGCTTCTGGCTTACTGCACAGGGATAAGAAGGAAGCATTGGAATTCCACCTCTGTCTCAGGACCTTAGTCACAAAATTCCTTGAACAGCTGCCATTATAAGTTCACACCATTTTCTTCTTTTTTCTACAGAAAACAGGCCCACAATATTTACCTTTATATTTAAATTTAAAGTATAAATTCAATGTAGGGGGTGGGAGGAGGATTCCAGATATGTTTGATACTATTACAGAAAAGATCTCACTCCTAAAAGATACCCTACTTGCATCAAATGAAGAGACATGTACTTTAGAGTTATGTATAAGGACATCCAAAGAGACTCACTGGGAACAAAATAGTTTTTAAAGCATCCAAGTTCTAAATCAGAAGGCCTCGTTTGACCTTTTAGTGATTTGACAGGCATTGGGACAAAATTGTCATTTGGGTTGCATTTAAGCAGAATAACTAAATTAATTAATCAATATGATCAGCCATACATCCTATACTTCAATAGCCTTCCCTTCTTTCAGATTAAAAACTAAAACTTAAGCATAATTTTTTGGAGAGGCTATGTCTATCTCCAGGGTCATTAAGATTGGACATCTCTGTCTAAGATCATTTAAGACTTAAGTTAAAATACTCCATAGTGAATTTCACTCACAAACAAAATGGAACCCAATGTACTTTAATATTAGGACCATAGTCTCCCATGTGAAAAGTAGTTTAATTTTTGAAATGCTCTCAAAGGCAGCCCAATGACAGAGTTCAATGCAATAGTTTAATCTAGAGGTTGCCTCGAAATTGCGATGCAAAACCAAGATCACTCTCTTTCAAAGTACACTAAACTTGATCAAAAGAATTTGAGACCTTAGCCACTGGTTTTCCAGGACCAAGCTTCGTCTAGATTTTGTTTCAATTTCTTCAAATTTATTCAATCTGATCTATTTAAAGGAATATATGCTTCCAAAAGATGTTGAGATCTTCAACCACAAACTGGCAAAGAACCGGGGATGATGAGAATTATAGTCCTACAACTTTTGAAAGCACATAGGTTTTGCATGCCTATACTAGGGTAAATCTCATAATTAGCCTAAAAAGTCAGTCATGCAACATGTGCGTGCAATGTGGGCATACAATAAAAAGACATAAAATATAACCAAGGTACTGTATAATTTGATATATCTCTTCATTACTGAGGCTATGGAAATTATAAGAACTTCTAAAATGCCAAAACAATAACAGGCAATAAAAATTCCAGCAGTATTAAAAGCTCCCATGTCAAAATTCAAATTAATTGCACCAAGACAAAGTCCTTGTGTGTCCAATCACACTTGGCCAATAAAGAATTCTATTTATCTGTTCTATCTATCTGTCTATGAATTAAATATATCCTCTTCAATTGAGAACAGAAGCAAAAGAACAGGCTTAGATCCTTTTAATGAACAAGAACGCATCACCACCGTATAAACCAAGGAATAATTTGTTATAGCTCTTCATTACTGATGCTATGTAAATTATAAGGACCTCTAAAATGCCACAAAATAATAGGCAATAAAACTCCAGCAGTATAAACAGCTGCTGTGTTAAAATTCAGATGAATTAATATATCCTCTTCAACTGAGAACAGAACCAAAAGAAGAGACTTAGATCTTTTTAATGATCAAGAACATGTTAATCAGGGCCAACAGTTCCATTATAATCACATTGGCTAAAATGAACACATTTCATCTTACAGGAATGGGATCTTATACTTCTTACACAATAAAATAACACATTGTATCAATTAATGACTTGGCATCAATAAAAAAACATGTCAGAGGGAAAAAAAGATAGGTATTATTGATCGGTATTATAGGTTGATAGGTATTATTTAGTTCAAGCTTCTTTAATTATTAATTAGGAATCTGGTTTTTTTAGAGTAAGCCTCCAAAATCACACAAAAAGTATCAATGGAAATCAAATTTAGCAACCCATGGAGGTCTGGATTTGCAGTTACACTCAAAATTAAAGTGGAAAAAAACCACTACAGGCTAATCCAATTTTAATGTAATGTCCTTAAAACAAGTCCAAATGAGGCTAGGTAGTGTGTGTGCCCTCCACGTGCCTATATGACCTCCCTACAACGTCTGGACATGCTCCTGATGAGGTGGCGGATGGTCTCCTGACGGATCTCCTCCCACACCTGGACTAAAGCATCCCCCAACTCCTGGACAGTCTGTGGTGCAACGTGGCGTTGGTGGATGGAGCGAGACATGATGTCCCAGATGTGCTCAATTGGTTTCAGGTCTGGGGAATGGGCGGGCCAGTCCCTAGCATCAATGCCTTCGTCTTGCAGGAACTGCTGACATACTCCAGCCACATGAGGTCTAGCATTGTCTTGCATTAGGAGGAACCCAGGGCCAACCGTGTTAGGGATAACATTGTTTACCCTAACTGGTTTGGGTAAAAATAATAAATATGGTATCATGGTTTGTTAGTTAAAAGTGTGTGTAACTTTAACAGCAAGAATGTAATTAAAGGTGTGGTTGTAAAAGCACTATATAAGAAGCGAGGCAAATGCAGCTCTCTCTCTCTGGCTTACTGATCACTAATTACTTGATGGATTTATGACTGCGTTCTTGCTGGAAAGGGGAGAGAAGAAGGAGTGTTGATTTTTCTCAACCGGAGAGATAGTATAAAGATTGGACAGATTTATTGTAAGTGAACTGACATTGGCTATTCAACACGGACTTTGCAAATAGAGTATCCCCGACAAGACTTGACTGAAATTGATATATGACTAATGGACTGTTATATTTGACTATGCTATAATTCTTAAATGGAATAAACAATATTTTTGATAGCACAAGCGTATCTGTATTTTTACTGCGTGTTAACTAGAAAACTTATCTCACACATTTACCTGTCTTCCTATCTGACTTCACTGCACATTCTGTTTAGTTTGTTTTCCTTAACACTCGTTGGGGAATCTAGGCTTAACAAACCGCACCAGCTATGGTCTCACAAGGGGTCTGAGGATCTCATCTCGGTACCTAATGGCAGTCAGGCTACCTCTGGCAAGCACATGGAGGGCCGTGCGGCCCCCTAAAAAAATGCCACCCCACACCATTACTGACCCACTGCCAAACCGGTCATACTGGAGGATGTTGCAGGCAGCAGAACGTTCTCCACGGCATCTCCAGACCCTGTCACGTCTGTCACATGTGCTCAGTGTGAACCTGCTTTCATCTGTGAAGAGCACAGGGTGCCAGTGGTGAATTTGCCAATCTTGGTGTTCTCTGGCAAATGCCAAATGTCCTGCACGGTGTTGGGCTGTAAGCACAACCCCCACCTGTGGACATCAGGCCCTCATACCACCCTCATGGAGTGTTTCTGACTGTTTGAGCAGCCACATGCACATTTGTGGTCTGCTGGAGATCATTTTGCAGGGCTCTGGCAGTGTTCCTCCTGTCCCTCCTTGCACAAAGGCGGAGGTAGCGGTTCTAATGCTGGGTTGTTGCCCTCCTACGGCCTCCTCCACGTCTCCTGGTAGTGCCTCCATGCTCTGGACAGTACACTGACAGACACAGCAAACCTTCTTGCCACAGCTCGCACTGATGTGCCATCCTGGATGAGCTGCACTATCTGAGCCACTTGTGTGGGTTGTAGTCTCCATCTCATGCTACCACTAAAGTGAAAGCACCACCAGCATTCAAAAGTGACCAAACCATCAGCCAGAAAGCATAGGAACTGAGAAGTGGTCTGTGGTCACCACCTGCAGAACCACTCCTTTGTTGGGGATGTCTTGCTAACTGCCTATGCTTTCCACCTCTTGTCTATTCCATTTGCACAACAGCATGTGAAATTGATTGTCAATCAGTGTTGCTAGCTAAGTGGACAGTTTGATTTCACAGAAGTGTGACTGACTTGGCGTTACATTGTGTTGTTTAAGTGTTCCCTTTATTTTTTTGAGCAGTGTATAAGAAAATATGGTGGTTTGTTTATAGACAATTCAGTAGGTTAAAAAAAGGATGATAGTCATATAAGTGTATTAGAAATATATACAGACACATATAATGTAATGTTCCTTTTGGGTTTTTTTTTCCTGTTATTTTAAAAGCAAAAAACCATTAAAATCAATAAAAATATTAACATTTATTAACTTTATTTAAATTTATTAAAAATAATTTTAATGAAGAAACTGCCCACACAGTTTTCTTTCATGGGACAGTATCATCTGCAGCTTTTCCATGAATGCTGCTTTTCTCCTTAGGAACATCCTGGATCAACTTAAAATCCAATTATGGGAATTCCTACTAATGGGGTGTTTTTCATGGCCCCATTCAAGCACTTATGAAGAATGCCATCCATTTCTTTTGATGCCAAAGGCAGGTGGGTTTCCTGTTCCGGTGATGTCAATATACATAGCTAAGACCACATGACTGCTTATTAATATAGATGCCTGCCTTGGATGGCCCTCAGAGGCTCTGTATAAATGATGCCTCTGAGGTGGGTAAAATGAGGACCCAGATTGTTGGGGGCAATATGCTGACTCTGTAAACCACTTAGAGAGGGCTGTAAAGCAACATGAAGTCTAATTGCTATTGCTATACATGTGCGACTTCTGTGAGCAGAGGAGTCATGGACCCCTTTCTCCATTCCTGAAATGGGCCTATGTGTCAATTTTTCAACATGCATTTTTAAAGGACAGATGATAAAAGGAATTATCTTGATTAAGCATATAAACTTTCTTTGCAATTCACAAGAACCACCAAAAAGAATAAGTAGCATCAGCAGGAGACCCGAATACTGAGAATTTTCTGTTCTATGATGCAATCAAATCTCTTTTTTTGCACCAGCCCAGGATTCATTACATTTAAGATTATGCAGAGCATCACCTGCAATATGCAAGAACCTAAAATCCCAAGAATCTAAGTTTCTAGAAATTAAGAATCAAATCTTAGTTCCATTTCCCTCATCCACGAGTCACAAAGACGAGGTAAGGAGAAGAACTAAAGAAGAATGATAATAATGGTGAATGCTTCTCTTCAGATATTACTAAACATATGAGCATGGAAGAGGTTGTTAAACATGGAGGAAGAAATAAGAAGGTACTGTACCACAAACTTTTAGAGGCTCATCGGACCAGTCCCTGCAGTCCCTTTGTGAATCGCACACCTTGACTTCCTCTATGCATTCTCCACTTTTACACTGAAATTTGGTGGGACTCTCGCACGCCGCCTCTGTTATATCAGGCAAGGAAGGAAAAGCAGCTGAAGTTAGATTAGGTACATGAAAATGAAGATGCATTATGAATGTAATTAGGAAAAAAATGAGATATGGTTAAACAGCGGGATATTTAGATGTGATGGATTAGAACGAAGCCTACTAAAGACAAAAAGTATCTCTGATGAGGCCTCAGAGGCCTGGAATATGCTAAACAGTACAGTATACTAGGATAAAGAATCGGTTTGCTTCTTGGGGATGGAGGACTCTCTGGCATCTAAGCACTTTTTAATAGTGTTTTCTGCTACACCCCATGCCAGCAGACTTATCACACCTAGCATATCTACCATTAACGCAGCCAGCTTCATCACTGTTGTCAGGGCAATCGTGCACTTTGTTGCACTGTTTAGCTCCATGGATGCAGGTCCCATCACCACACTGGAATTCATCAGGGCTGCAGGTCACCAAGGCTTAAAAACAAAAAGGAAAAGAAAAAACACCATCACCTGTTGCGTTCTTTTCACAGGGTTTCTAATTGTCAGTCATTCTAAAGTTCTGGGGTATCCAACAGTCCTTCATTGCTGCCCAGAGTCATGCAATGGACGGTCATATGAATTGAATAAGTAAATTGGACTTTAGAATCATTTCTCAATTCAGTATGGCACAAAAGAGGTGGAAGAATATTGTCTGTTTTCATTTTCATGTGGTTTGTTCTTAACGATAAACCAGCTATCATGGCTAAATATGGATTTAAATCCATGGTTCATTCTGTACATTGGGAATATTTTCTTAACAACTACGAGCAATTAAGAAGCAATTAAGGCAGATAGCAAGGAAAGAGATAAAAATTACACCTTGATATTTAAACATTCTGATGCTTCAGTTCCATTTAACATTGTCTGATCTTAAAAAGCTAAACAGGATTGGACTTGGCTAATATATAGTTGAGACTTAACCAGAAAAATCAGAGGAAGTCATCCTTAACAGGAAAGCAAAATGTTGTCTAGAAGAGTAATACCATTTCTGTATTATTGCTAAGAAAATGACATGTCTGTCTTCTTTAAACCAGCAGCTTGACTCAAAAGTGATCTTAACTTTATTTAATCTCCACATCCAACTCCTGAACAATAAATGGCTATTGTTAGCCCACCTGTATTGCCACTTTCTAACAAGTTTTAGACCCGCCCAAAGCTTTTTCATAGCTGAGTGTCAATGTCAACAACAGCTGCAGATACACAGAAAAAATGCCTCTCAGAAATCATGTATTTTCCCCTTGGAGTACAGCATCCTTATTTTAAATGACAGAAAATCACTACCAAAGAGTAGCTCAAGCAATATGACACAGGCACTAATTCAGATGATCCAGGAAGATTGCGACAGAATCTCCACAGCAATTTTACTATCACGAGGAACAGAAATTATGCCTCTTCAACATCCTGGACACAAGAAGAAGAGACTACCATATATCCAGCAAGTATATAATAAACATACTGAGGTATGAATACAATTAATTAGACTGTAAATTACAGGCATTCAAAATCACCACAGTGAACCATGTTTTGGCAAGCAGAGTATTTACACAATGCTATATTCTTTTTGTGATTCCTAATCCGATTCCAAACCTCCCCAAAGAGTAAACATATAGAAGTCTTTTCACAGATCACTGTGCAAGTTAAAAAGCGCATATGTAAAGAGTATCAAGGATTTTATTTTATGTAGCATGTCAACACCTCTGAGAAAGAACCTTCGGAATGTCTCCTACTGGGAGCTTTTTTTAGGGTTAGCGAAGTGCAACAAGAAGCACTAAACTAGACATTGTTCTGAATGGTAAATTCAGGAATTGCTCTTTCCTCCTTGGGTTTCAGGTAGAATGCCAACTGCCAAGTTATAGCTCACTTCAATTTAAAACATTTTAACTTCATTAAACTTCATGGGATTGAGCACATTTAATGAAAAATAAGCAGTCCTAGGTAATTAGAAAATAAAGCCTTGGAATTCATGGAACCAATCTTGGCTTCACTTATCCAATCTTGGCTTCACTTATCTAACATAATATTAGCAAACTATTTGGCTGGTTCATGGAAAGCCATTAACATCAGAGATAAGGCCTCTGCCTAGTAATTAGGTATTGAAATGGAGTCAAAGTAGACAGTATTTAATACCATGCTAGAATATTAAGTGTGAATACAGAAGATAAAGTTGGAAACACAATATACACATAGAATGAAAACATGGATGGAAAATGAAGAGCTTTGCTTATAAAGTCACAATAAGCAAAAGTCATAATCATGCCCTATAATCTACATCAGGGGTGGCAAATTCACGACGACACATTGTCATCATGTGACATACCACAACTTTTTTCCTCTTCGCTAAACCAGGGGTGGGCATGGCCAGCACGCGACGCATCTGGCCCACAGGCCGTGCGTTTGACATCCCTCATCTATATAAAGGTAACAGTAATGATAAAGTCTCTTTTGAATCAAGTTGGACTCCTGATGCCTTTATACAACCTTTAAATTGCTTAGTACATCAGTTTTACCGGTAGACCTCAATTTACAACCATTTGTTTAGTGATCGTTCAAAGTTACAACGGCACTGAATTTTTTTGACAGTTTTTCAGACTTACAACTGTTGTAGCATCCCTATGGTCATGTGATCAAAATTTGGCCACTTAGCAACTGGCTCATAATTATGATGGTTGCAGTGTTCCAAGGTCATGAGGTCAGCTTTCACAAACTTCTGACAAGCAATGGCAACAGGGTTCAGTTAAGATTCACTTAACAACTGTCTTACTAACTTAACAACTGCAGTGCTTCATTTAAAAACTGTGGCAGCAACAGTTGTAAAATGGGGCAAAACTCACTTAGCAACTGTCTTGCTTAGCAACAGAAATGTTGGACTCAGTTGTGATAGTAAGTTGTGGACTACCTGCATGCAACACTCAGAGAAGCATCTGGAACACCCAGGCCTAAGGTTTGCAAGGATGCCTGCAGAACAAATAGAAACAGAAAGGAAAGGACAAGTTCCAGAGATCAGCTGTGTTCATCGAGCAAATCTCATCCATTGCAAGTTTTGCTCTGCGTTTGATAATCTTTTGCTTCATTGACTCCATTGGTAGTGATTATTCAGTAAACTTTGTTCATCTGCTGCTCTCTGCTTTTTGTTCATTTGTTTCTCAAAACATATGAACAGATGAAGCATGCTTTATATCAGACTTGTTTTCATATTTCAATAATATAAAGGTATTCCTAAAAACACTTTACATTTTATCGTGTGTTGCTTATCCTGAGTCTGGAATCTTTTTAGATCCTTGAGCAGAATATACCAGGAATTGAAATTTAGAACTATTTATCTGCCAATTATCTACCTATTGAATTCCTCTTAAAAGGTTTAAACAGATATACATTACATAAATATAAAATATAAATATGCATATACACATTCATGCATAAATCAAGATATCAGCCATTAGGTGTGCTTTTTTCAACACATGTTCTATTTATTTCTTTGTTCATCTGCTGCTCTCCGCTTTTTGTTCATTTGCCAAAGCATTTTTATTTATTTTCAGCACTAAAATGGAGCCTTCATTCTAGTTTCTTCCCCCCAAAACAACTAATGACAACAGTTGGCAAATATGGCCTTGAAATGGATTTTAAATTTAAGACACGTTTCCTTTATATATGAGATACTGCAGTGTGGGAGATGAGTACAAATAAAGGAAAGTTGATTATTTTCTTTGCCAAAAGAATGGGGATGCAAAAGATTGGAAAGCTTATCACAGTAGATATACAAACAAACAATTGTGATCTAATGGAGATACAGCAGTTCAGGACCTGTCTGCTGGAATGAACTAGTCCCTGAGGGGCCTAGCACTTTAATCTCCCTTCCCCCTTTACCACATGTCAATTCAATAGTTTCTGCTTAGCTGAACCACAATTTCCCATGATGCCTGAACTTGAGAAACCTGGTTTGAGTATTCCCTACAAAACAAAACATCAGACTCAGAAACTGTGCTTTAATCTTTCTGACTCTACGAAGAGCTCAAACAGTTTCCCAGAGAAATGTCACTGGAAATCATGCTTTGGTAAATCAGAATGAATTGAAATAAGTCATGCGAGAAAAAAAACAAGCATATATAGCTAGTTCCTGGGCCTGTGTTGAAATTTACTCTTGTTGGTACTTAGAAATGCCACACATCGGATAAACCACTATCTTGTACAGGTAGTCCTTGACTTACGACCCCAATTAAGCCCAAAATTTCTGCGGCTAAATGAAAATGTGTTAAGTGAATGTTGCCCCGTTTTATGACCTTTCCTGCCATAGTTGTTAAGTGAATTTTAAGCAGTTCTTAAGTTAGTAACACTGCTGTTAAGTGAATCTGGTTTCCTCATTTGCTTTGCTTGTCAGAAGGTTGCAAAAGGTGGTCACATTTATTTATTTGTTTATTTATTTAGAAAATTTATATTTATAATATATTTATAATTTATAAACATATGCATAAATATATTTATAAATATGAATTTATATTTTATAATAATATTTATAATATATTTATAAATAAATATAAATATTTATATTCCTGCCTATTTGCACATGGCGATTCACGGTGGCTTAGAAGGATGACCCCAAGCCACTGCAATCGTCATAAATATGAGTCAGTTGCCAAGCATCTGAATTTTGATCACATGGCCACAGGGATGCTACAACAGTCGTAACTGTGAAAAACGGTTATATGTCACTTTTTTTCAGTTCCGTTGTAACTTTGAACGGTCACTAAATGAACCATTGTAGTCAAGGACCACTTGTATATATATTACTACTTCTGAAAATGGAATAAAAAATAAATACCCCCCCATTCTTAGACTGTTCACTTCTACTTCTAGATGTAAGCTCAAAGCTTTTTAAAAAGAGAGAGAAAAATAAGAAGGGAAGACTAGAATTAGGTGAGAATAGCCAAAGTAATCCATAAAGGGATAAAACAAACAAATAAACAAGCCAAACATAAAACTTTAAATTAGTGAACAGGAATTTCTTTCTGTATCTGACAACTTAATGTATCTGCCTGGTTTATATGATTTTTTTTACTAATTCTCAATAATTTTGCAAATAAATTGCACAAGGTTTTTGGCAAATTAAAAAGATTCAGTCCTCAAGCAAAAATTGTCAACCTGGCAGCTGTTTTTCAGCCACCCTGCTCATGCATAGTTTTGTATAAATATTACATTTCCATGTTGCATTTATAAATATTTCAGTGAAACATTTTCTCAATATCTGTCTGTCTCTTAAGCCTTGGGTGAATGACTAGCTTAAACTACTTAACACCTTAAAAACGGATGAAACATTGTGTGAAGAGAAATGCAATATTCAATAGCTCAGGGTCCATAATAACTTGATATTTACAGAAGAGAAACTTCAATTTTGGGCACCCAAAGCTATTCAAGCTGCAGGTACAAGCATTTTTCATTAGAATTTAAGATGATGCACAGACACGAATATAAACTAGACATACCTTTTTATAGAAAACTTGGAATTAGAATCAACTAGTGAGTCAAACAGACTTGTTATTAATTACTCAGTTCTAGATACAATATAGAATCAATATACAATATTAGTAACTAGCATGTGCTTAATTTAAACCAAAAGTCTTGACATCAATATTCTATTTAGGATTAATTTTGTTTTTAAAGAACAATCTTGATTGTCAGGCACTTCAACTATAATCTTGTTGATAACCTGGCAATTTGGAACAAAGACCCAACCAACCAGATATGACATTTCAGAGATTGAGTTATAACTTCTTGCAAAATAAAAGATGCATACAAATTCTGCAGGAACCCCACACAGAATTGAAATACAAAGGCCATCACATCAGGATCAAATTCAATGGACGGACCCCTTCCCCAAATACGATTCAAAATTTTGGGCACTTACAACAATCTTGTTCATCTGACTTGTCTTTGCAGTCCTCATCTCCATCACATTTCCAATTCAAATGGATACATTCCCCATTGCCACACTGGAACTCATGTGCTGCACAGGTGTTCACGATTTGGGGTTTGAGTTTGTACCCACACCTCTCCATGGACTCATCGGAGAGGTCCTCACAATCAGGCTGTTTGTCACAGACCCAAATCTGTGGGATGCACAGGCTATTGTTGCACTGGAACTCATTCGGGTTGCAAGTGAAGGGAGGGCACTTCCTCTCGTCACTGCCATCCCCACAATCATCGTCACCATCACAGACGAAGATTGTGGCTATGCAGGTCTTGTTGCTGCACTGGAATTCACTTGAAGAACAAACTTTGGGAGGAAAAAAACAGGCAAGGGTTAGCACAAAGCGTATTCTTTTATTTCATATTTTAAATCTTCAAAAAATCATCCTGTTCTTAACTATCTTCTCCCTACAACACTGGAAAAACATGTGGAATGCTAGCACATTTGAATTTTTTAATAATGTCCCATGCTTCTATTTGTTACTACTTACTACTCTTTCTTTTTGAGATTATTTCGGTTTTGTAGTAATATAATACCATAGCACTTTCTAACTAAGTTTATGAGTGCCGTATCTGTCCACAAAGGCTACATCAGAACCATCTTCTACTTTCGCAGCAAACATTATTTCATTAAATGGAATAAGAGCTGATTCCAAAAAAATGTAGAATTGTTCTGATTGACGTTTCTATTTGCAGGCTTAATGCCAGTTCTCATAGCTTGAGTGTGAGAAACCCCTTGGGATTCTTTGCTGTCACTTTTTGTTTTAACCCCACTAAGTAACATTTTCATCATCAGAAGCTGACCGTTCCTAGAGCTGTGAGCTGCAGGGCTCAATAAAAGCGAAAGCTATGTGGAGCGTTCTATATGGGATTTTTCACTTGCTTGAGACAGGTAGCTATAGAAATTGAATGAACGAACCAACCAACTGCACGAATAAATACATAAATAAAGGAATAAAGAGGATTTTGCTTGCCAAGATGATCTGAAGAAAAGACTCCACTAAGAAAAATCTTCCTTTGATGGTGATATTGATTCTTGCAATGTATACTGTACAGTCAAGGCTGTGTCTATGAATCATTAGGAAACTCCCAGGGACCATTTTGATCCAGCTATCCTGTGCAGTGATCACAATGGTGTCTTGGGAAACATAGCTTGTTTAACTAGAAGTTCAAGAGGTAGACACTGAAATGAGCTGAAAGCTGCATGCTTTGCCTTTGGGGAAAGGGGGATGAATAATCCTGAACATTCATTCAATGCTAATTCCCTGAAATAAATATAAATGTAATGCTATGACGTTTAATGTTAAAACCTAATGGCCTGATGGTCTCAAAGTTCTTACAAACATGAAAGAAATCAAACATCATATGAAATGGGGGAGTCCTAGAATTATATCATGGAAAGCAATCATTACAATCCAGAGGACTGCAGCTTCTAAAGTCTGATGAGCAACTATATGGCCAGATGGCTGAAGGCTACAAAAAGGGCTGTTGCAGTTAGAGTCTTGGCAGGGTGTGGAGTCAGGATCTAGAAGCCATAGCACTATTTTGCCGAGAATTTCTCTGCCCTCAGTTTGGCTTTTTGTAAATGGCAATTTCATTCTCCTCCAAATTTTGGCTCCTTGCCAAAACTATGGTCACAAGCCACGGTCATCCCCATCTTCAAAAAGGGAGGCCCCAGCCTAGTTGAAAATTACAGACCAATCTCTTTATGCTGCGTCACCTGTAAAGTCATGGAATCAATTATTAACCAATCCATCATCCTCCACTTAGAAACAAACAAGCTACTCTCTAATAAACAATTTGGTTTCAGGACAAACACTATCATGTAATCTGCAACTCTTACACTGCAAAAACATATGGACTACACAACTCGATCAGGGCAAAGCAATAGATGCAATCTACATAGACTTCTGTAAAGACTTTGATTCAGTGGTACACGACAAACTACTCCTAAAACTAAAATCTTACGGTATCTCTGGACACCTGCATAACTGGATAGAAGCATTCCTGTCAAACAGACAACAAATTGTCAAAATTGGGAGCGTCCTATCAAATTCTGTACCTGTCAACAGTGGTGTCCCCCAAGGCAGTGTTCTAGGACCAACTCTTTTCATACTCTACATAAATGACCTCTGTGATCATATCAAGAGCAACTGCGTTCTCTTCGCTGATGATGTAAAGCTATTCAACACCACAGGCTACCCTTCAAAAAACCTTGACTATGTATCAGAATGGTCAAATAAATGGCAACTTCAAATCTCAACAAATAAATGCTCTGACCTATATATTGGCAAAAAAAATCAGAAAATAAAATACAGGCTGAATAGTCAAGACCTTGTTGATGATCCAAACTCTGTCAAGGAACTTGGAGTGCTCATCTCTAATGACCTAAGTGCTAGAGCCCACTGTAACTACATAGCCAAAAAGGCGTTAAGAGTTGTTAACCTAATCTTACGTAGCTTTGAATGGTCACTCCACACAAGCAAAGTACCAGCAAAGGAGGGGGGGAAAACTCCAGAGTAGTTCCTGAGACAGGAAGTCTAGTCCTGCCAAGAATGTAATAAGGGTTAACGGAGAGGCAGTTTCTGTAAGCAACACCAGAATGTTTCCTTCCTGCCTTCCTTACAGGATTAGGCCAGTAATTTCTTCTAATAACTGGTTCTCCGAACTGCTTAGAATGTTAACAACCGGTTCTAGCGAATAGGTGCGAACCTGTAGAATCCCACCCCGACTAGCTCTGTACCCATGCTTCGCTATGAAACTATGTGAACGGGCTTAGTTTTAGGGGAGGAAAATAAGGGGGGGAAATTATGCCTCTACCTACCAGCATCCATTGGTATTTATCTGGCTAGCATCCTATCAGTGTGTGAGAGAGTTGAGGATTGTTTGGAAACTGAAACAGTATTTGCTGTGTGAGCAAGAAGGAGACAGCAAAGAGCCTGGGTGTGGCTTAGCTTAACTGTTCTGTACTAAAACTGCTTGATGCTGTGAAAGTAAAATTGAAACTGAAACTCCTCTTCTCTGCTTGTGTTTTGCATTTGGAACAGATTTCTTTTCAGGTGGGGACGGGAAGTAGAACTCCTTAGCATCAAAGCATGTTAATAATAATAATAATAATAATAATAATAATAATAATAATAATAATAATAATAATAATAATAATAATAATAATATACGGAATACTAATGCTCTAATGGTTTTTTTGAAAAATCCTTTCTTTGTGAGCACTTAGAAGCCAAAAGGAACATATGTGCCAAATTTCAAATTTGTAGGCTTTATGGTTCTGCAGATTTTGTGATGATGTGTGAATGGTATTGTGCTTTTATATATAGAGATTAACTCTGGTTTATAAGCTATCACTTATGGTTTAGTACATTGTGTAAACACAGATAATTGAGAACTATTGAGTAACTCAGGTTTAGCAAACTGTGACTTAGTATGATGAATGTATTAATCTATACTTCTATTTAGGTTAGAAATTTGATTGGTGTTTTCAGAATGACAAAGGTTTAACATCTGAGTAAAACCCCATAATGCATTTAATTCTTCATTTTCTAAAGTATAATCTATTTAACTGGTGAATAAATCAAGCACCTAAGACACCCATATATAAGTCATGATAATAAAGATAATATTCCTTTCACTGAAAAGATAACAAAAATATATGGCTGTATGGCACATTATTATATCAAAGTACATACAGAATTGCACAGAGGACATATCTAATTCAAATAAAACCTTCCAATTTGTTACAAGCTGATTGATTAGTTCATTTAAACCTTTCTGCCCTCGAACCAAGACATTGGGTACTGTGATCAATTAGCATTTTGAGTGTTATTTTCCATTTGTACAATAATTGTTCTGAAAATGAAGGAAATTGTTTCCAGTTATTCTCTAGCTCAGAGGAGACCTGTCAGCTAAGTTGGTAATTTTACATGTCCAATTAGCTTGGTAGATTCCCCAGAAACAAACGAGGCTGTGATAGTCTATTAGTTCACATGTTGGAGTTGCTAATCATTTCACATAATAAGAACACGCCTTAGAAAAATGCATTGTGGCAGGAAGTCCTATTCCTGAAACAGTTAGTGTGACATCTTAGAATAGTTTCCTTGGAACCATTCTGAATCCCAAAGAATTTCTGAAATAGACTTTTGAAAATGACTAGGGAGGCAAATATAAATGTGGGATTTGTGTACTGCCTTGTATAGATGGTCCTCAACTTAAAACTGTTTGCTTAGTGACCATTCAAAATTATAATAGCACTGAAAAAAGTGACATGACCATTTTTTCACACTTATGACCAGGGGTGGGCTTCAAAAAATTTAGCAAAGGGTTCTTTGCCTGGTTGCTGGGTGGGCGTGGCCATGGTGGGCATGACCTAGTTGGCCTCCTGCACCATGACAGGAGGGGGCGTTTTTGCCCTCCCCAGGCTCCTGAGGCTTTTCTCGAGCCTCCAGTAGGGTAAAAGTGGCATCCCCGGGGCTCTGGAAGTTTTCTGAAAGCTGGAAACGGCCCATTTCTGGCCTTCCCAAACTTCAGTGAGGCCCATTTTTCGCCCTCCCCGAGCCTCTGCGTGTGGCCTGCACTTACCCTGTTTCTCCAACAATACGGCCTCCCCCAATAGGAAGTCCCAGCATGTTTTATAGGCATGAAATGAAATTAAGCCCCGCCCCCCAAATTAAGGCCTATATTAAAACATGAAAAATGGGGGGGAATGGTGGGGGGGCTTGCCATTAGGAAGTACTTTTGTTGCACACCTGGATATGGTGCTGCCTGCGTTGACCCCGATACGAAGTGCCCCACCAACACCGAGGTCAACATCCAAGCCATCGCCGCCCGCCCACCCAAAGATGCAAGTGGGGGGAATTAAGTCACCCCCGAAAAAACAGCCTAGCCATTTTTTCAGGGCACAAAAAAAAATAAGACCCAGCCTTATTATATGAGAAACACGGTACTTGCATCCAAAACAGGCCACGTGGGGACTCCTGGGAGGGGAGGGATGGCCAGCCAGGAGTGGGATTTGGGGGTTCTCCAAACTGCACAGAATCTTAGCTAGGGGCTCTCCCGAACCCCTGCGAACCCCCAGCAGGCCAACCCTGCTTATGACCATTACAGCATTCCCATGTCATGTGATTAAAATTCAGATGCTTGACAACTGACTCATATTTATGATGGTTGCCATGTCAACGGTCATGTGGTTACCTTTTACGACCTTCTGACAAGCAAAGTCTATGGGGAAGCCAGATTCACTTAACAACTGTGTCACTTACTTAACAGCTTCAGTGATTCCCTTAACAACTGTGCTAA